AAGACAAAGGCTAAAGACCCCTCTCTTTACTTTAGTGACAATGACTCATGGGATGAGAAAATTTAGAGTAAGAAAAGGCAAAGGAGGTACTTCTATTTGTTGATTTTCTGAACTTTCTGCTCTTCCCAAAGTACAACAGTGGTACCATGACAATGATACTGAGGACAGAGTATTTACTGAGGTGACTTCTACAATAGTCCTTTTTTCTTTCTGTCATTGAAGAAAACCAAACCAAAATCCCAGAATACAAAAATAAGATTATTTCTTCATGGAAAATATAATTTCTTAACTAATTTTATATGTCTTGAAGAAGGAAGAATTTCTCACACCCTGTTTCTTTCATTGTGCCTTAACTAAAATCCTATTTGAAATTCAACTGGCACACTCTTTGATGTGTCTTACACTGAGTCTTGACGTCTTAAAAACTTAGTCAACTCCACGGACATAACCATGTCTGTATCTGTCCTTACTTGAGGACAGATGTATTTTCATTTTCCTCTCTCCTGCCATTTTACTTCACTGTGTGATATTCAGACTTCTGATGACAATTACAAGATCGCTGAAACACTCCTCTTAGTCCAGTCTACTTTATAAGATGTTGTTTGGTGTACAATTTCTATAAGTCAAAGAATGTATTCTCTATTCTTTTTCTGTTTGGGTTTCATTTGGGTTTCACCACACTCTCCTTTCCTTCTCTCACCCCTAGTCATTTCCTTTCAGAGGCATAACTATTTCATTGTTCGTTTGGGTTTTTTTGGTTGTTTTCTTTTTTTCTATCCCATCTTAAGGCAGTGCCTTATAGTTATGAAAATTGAATTAAAAGACTAATAGATTCCTGCAACAATGTTGAGAACATACACTCCATAGATCTTTTACTCTCATCTCCAAATGGCAAAAATCAGATATATGCACTCCTATGTCATCAAGTTATACAGTGATGTCTTGCCACTGCATTACATCCATGTACATAGCTGACACATGGTTGCATATTATTTTGACCTTTCTATGTCACCAGAGTATTTTACTTGGAACATAATGTTGCAGACCTGACACACAGCTCACAGTAAGATGTGCAGGTGCTTGTTCCGAACCACAATTACAAAACACACACATTCTGCTCCCCACAAAAGGAGTTCAGCGTGAGAAAACTTGAACTGAGATGTCTTGAGGCTGAGAGAAGAGTCTAGTAGAAGGATAAAATAAATAGTAATAAAGAAATATTTTGGATAAATAATTTGAGGGTCAAAATAGTAGAGAGGAAAATATTAGACAGGAGTATGTTCCTATGTCTGGCTGAAGGGCCTTTACTGGAGCCTCTTTATAATCTTTTTGATGAGACATGAGTGCCTGACTAGTCCATACTACATTGTCAATATGTTTCCTAAGTTTCACTTTGAAAGGACTTGAAAAATAGCTAAGCAACATAGAGAAAACCTTACAACATTATTATTTTAAACATCTGTATGAAATTGCTTTTCCCTAAAGTTGATACTAAAAATGCAAATTCTATGGATAGTGTACATCATACATTGTTGGTCCATATCTTTGAGGGTTTTTATTTTTCTTTTTTATTAAACAAATGTGGATAAACCCTGCAAACCTCAGTTAGATCACGTGATGCATTTAAATTCCTCTTATCCTGCGTAGTGAAAAAAAATGTGTGTTGCATAAAAGCTGATCCAGCAAATATATTTTAAACACAAATATATACTTGACTGCCATTAAACCTTTAGGAAATATGCAAATGTATGCACTTCTTTGAAGGGATAGAAGATTAATATCTTTAATAAAATATTAGTTGGTCTTTGGTTTTATTGCTTGGCTCACTTTTATTTAAAAGAAACTATTAGTAACATGTCTGATTTGTCTAATTTTATCAAAGCCTTCTAATTTTCTCTATTATTCTAATAAGATTAGAATACAAAAGCCTTCCTTTCATTATTGATATTTGCTTAAATATTCATTTTTTAAAATATATATTTTAAATTTTTTTTTTCATATATACCAGACTAAACTTTCATAGTTCCTTAAATCCTCGGACATATGCCTGTTAAGTCTGCTCACTGGTCACCTGCTCACATAAGAAGTGGGAGTGAGTTTCATCATGAAACTATATTATTGTGCCATGTAGTAATAGACATCATAAGTCAGAGTGCGTTTATTTATAATTTTTCAAAATAGTTTTTCTTTTTCTACACTGCATTCCTATTCCAGAGCACGCTGTTCGTATCGTTCTTGCACAGTACATTTCAACCACTAATCCAATATGAGAAGATGCATTCAAAAATGATGTATTGCACAATACACAGTTTCCTTTGTTCAGAAACATTGGACAGTTCTTCATGATTAACAAAGTACGTGAGTAAGTAGTGTTTTTATAAATACTAATTTATTTAATAAAAATACAAAAATATAAATATACATATATAAAAATACTGGGATGAATCAACACACAGAAATTCTTTAACTCAAAATATGGCAATAATATTAATCTTTTTGAAGTATTTTTTTGAGATTATGTTACAATGCAGGTGCACACTGTTCAAGATAGTAGGAAAGGTAATGCAAAGCAATTTAAAAAAATGGAGTTCCCATGTCATTATTAAAGGCACAAAAAGCCTTTTATTTTTTTTCATTCCAAATAAAACCCTTTCATCTGAGGCTTCTAGGCAGAGAGGGTGAATTATAGATTTTTAAAAATCTAAATCATTCATATTCATTCACGTTGACTTATTGATTAAGCAAACCCTTACTAAGACAACACCTATTTTTTGTAAATTTTTTATTCCCAAGTAAGAGAGAGTAGGCCACTTTATCTAGTAACATAGACATGAATTCCACTAACACTGACCAGGTCACAGATTATTTTCTCAGTCTCGATCACTATCCTCTCCACCATACATATCTGCCAGTTTTTTAAACCGAGGTCCCCAGTCACTGAGGTACTCATAGTCTTGGTTGCCTTCAGTGGTAAGTGATTCCAGGGAACTGAGTGAATTTGCTATGGAATCATTTCCTTCATAAGCATATGTTGCTAGTGAGTCATAAGGAGGGGCAGCTGGGTCTAAATCATTTTCCTTTAACCTTCTATGAATAAAATCTTGGACATCAATGTTTTCCCAAAGAGGTGCAGTCCGCCTTATCTGAAATATTGTTTCTGGGATAACATCTCTTCTCATCTTACTTTCCTCCCTCGCTTCTGGATTTCTCAGTGTGCCAATGTCAAAAGCCTGAGTGTCTTCTTCCCCACCTCCTTCATCATTGTAGGTCACAATGTTGTCCCGAACATCATCCTTCGAGATGATCAAGGGTTCTTTCTTTCTTTGTCTCTTGAGAGCCGTAAACAAGACAACTAATACTACAAGGAAACAAAAGATGAATGAAGAAATGTGCAGTTAGCAACTAAATAAATGAGTAAATACTTTACATCATCTGTTGAACCAGAAAAGATTTAAGGTTGGAATGGGATTCTCAGTAGGAAAATATTGATAAAAGCTATCTCCAGGTTGAAGATAATAATAAGAAGTATTAATGATTTTATAGCAGTGAAAAAATAAGCATTTTGAAAACTTATGGGAGTAGTGATCAAAATATTATATATTTTAAATAGATATGCAATTAAGCTGAAGTTAAAAAGCAGACAATGCCTTACAATATATGATCCTATAGAAGTTTAGCTTTGATTTTAGTTTTGTGAAGTACCACATTTCTGGCAGTCACTAAGGGTGATTTCATCAAATGTAGTTCAATCTCCTGGTAAAAGTAGTTCACACACTTGAAAGCTAGTGATTTAGGTATTCCTAAGTGCCTAATTCACTTTTAAATATGAGATCTACATGTCCTTCTGAAAATAAGAATCTGAAGACCTTCAGCTATCAATATTATTGACAAAACCATTTTTGGCTTCAGTGACTGCAAAAACTGAAATCCAGTCTTTGCTACTAAGTGTTTCTTTTGAAAAACATGATCCTCCTAGTTTAAGAAGTGCTTGCTGAATGACTCTCGCTTCTAAAGAGGTGAGGATTGACACAAAAATGAACCTCTGCTAAAGCAGATGAAAAAAAATGAAGATTTGTAAATACATAGTAGTGTCTAAATGCTATTGATTTCAGGAGGAATTCAATGCTCGAATCCATTTTAAAATCTGACCCTAGTTGCAGTAGCTGGAGTAAATAGGAGAGGCCAGAAAGACCATCTGTCAATGAGGCACAACAGTGGTTGCTAAACCGTATGTTACAATAGTGTTGAATGCTTTTATTGAGTCTTAGAAGTTTTTACTCTGATTTGAGTACTGAAGAATAAAGGGTAAGATTGGGCATGCTGCAGGTAGGGAGAGGGGAATAGAAATCTTCCACATGCCATGGTATAATGTTGTGAATATAAAGGCTGTTTTGTTCTGTTCTGTTTTATTTTGTGAGCTTTTTTTCCTTTCTATTTATACAACAGCCATTTTTTTCAAAGTTTTCATAATGCTAGGCAAGAAATAGCACACTTAAGTAAATTTAAGAACTCCATATATGAGACAAGGCAGATCACTAAAAGGTTACTACAAAGAAGTGTCTTTCACAGCCTGGTACTTAATATGTCTCTCCTGTGTTGGGCCTGTTGATACCAGTCTACTATTCTAACACGCTGCACCTCATGAAAAAATTAAATAAGGTGCTGAGTATCCCACTAGATGTAGACTAAAAATTCTGTTTAGATGCTCTATAGCTATATGCTTCTTTGGGTTCAGATATGGCTATAGCGCTAAGTAGAGCAGGGCCTCTAAGCCTGGGGCTAGAGACGGGACCTGATCATATATGTTCTACATGACAACGGTCCCTGATCCTGTTCTGAGTCTCATGTGCTACTGATGTAGCCCTAAGGCATATTTGGATCTTTTATTTTAGTTTATTCTTTCTGTACTAAAAGGACTGCAGCTGACCAGAGTAATATTTTCACTGTGAGTGAGTAAGGATATGTCTTTCATGCTCTATCTTTTCATACTCTGTGTTGGGGCATGTTAGGAACTTTGTAAGGTGAACAGCTAGATCTGGCAGAATTGAGATATAATTGTCTGCTGGCAGGGGTTCCCTGCAAGTTCTGCAGCTCAGACTATGTCTGGGCAATGTCCTGGGGAGACCAAGCTGGCTAATGCTGAACCAGGCCAGCTGCGATGCTTGAACCTAAGCAACATGGAAAATCAGTTCATCAGAGCTTGAGTATCCTCCATTCCCTATGCCCAGCATTATAGACATAATTCCTAGATATTGCCCCTCTCCTAATAACCTCTGTGATTGAATATTTACTGGAGGTACCTTGAATCCAGTCTAGAAACTGGGGGGAAAAAAAGTTATCTCCTTATAATTATATAAACCAATACCTGTAGCTTCTCATTGCCCCCTTGGCTAGTTATGTTTGCTAGGGTAGGTGGAAAGAGGCTTTCTGCAGGCTTTTACTGGAAAGTTGAGATGGTGGCACTTTTAAGGAGGCACTTCTCTGGTAAGCAAAACACTCAAGTCGCAATTTTTATGTTCTTAACACCAGGTTATGAGTAGCATTTATTCTAATTTTCTCATATATCAATGAATTTTTCTAATGCTTCCACCCTCCAAACACTCATCTAACTTCTGCACTCACATGTTATTTAGTCAGCTGTTCTTCCTATCACTTGCAAACAATCAGACATTTCTATTCTGTGTTTTTGAGCTAAATATTTCCTGAGCAGAAAAGAATACAAATCACTCACCATTAAATAGCTAGTATAATTTATATAATTTAATCACTGCAAAACCTAGCACTCAGATTCAGGAATACGATTAGAAAGTTCTGGATCTCAATGAAGATCTGATTATAGTATAAACATTATTCAAATAAGCATGGGATCTAAAACTGACCTATTTTTTCAAATTTATTTAATCTAAATAGCACAGTCTCATTCCTTTCACATATTCTTCTGAATAGTGATGATGACAAACAGCCCATAGTACCTCCCTCTCCCCCTCTCTCAGCTCCTTTTCCCTCTTAGACAACAGTTGGAAAAAAAAATAAAATATATATATATATGGAAAAAAAAGGAGACCATATCAGATATGAAATATTGTTCTGTGGGTCATGTGAATGATGGATTTAAGAATATTGGGGTTCTAGAAGTGACTAGACCTTTGCCTAGTCAAGTAAAGATCTCATCACAGGTACTTGCCTAGCAGGATGATGATGCAGAGGAGAATGGCAACCAGTGCCCCAGTGCTGAGACCGGCAGGGAGGAGCAAGGCCTCAGCACTGCAGGACTGCATGTTCCCCCGGCTGTCGCAGGCACACACGCGAATCGTCAGTGTGCCCGTGCTGCTCTGGATCGGGTAGTCGTTGTCAAATATTATGATTGGCAGAAGATAGGTACTCATCTTACTACGGCTGTATCCATTTCTTCTAGTCATAATTCCTGCTGTGTTATCTAGAATGGAAAAGCAGAATCAATAAATGTTTCTGGATTAGGTTTTATGTGATATTGGAGGGAGGGGGGGTGTACAGTCAGCAGTTACCTTTGTTGTCTACAATGGAGAAGTTAGGGTGAAGAGCAAATTCTGGCACCAACTCAAAGAAAAATTTGTGTCCTCGAGGAGGCTGATCTTTGTCAATTGCACTCACAGTCTGTATCAGCTATAAGGAAAAGAGTATTTCATGCTATTTTAGAAATCATGTGTTTCAAACATCTGCTTTTCATGACTGGTAATAATCCAGTGAATCTTTATCTGAAGACAATAACTGATGTCCTAAGCCTAATGTTTCCTACATAAACCACTAGAGGTTATGGTAAATACATTGTTAAATACATAGCAAAGGATGAAAAAGGATCCAGTCCTCATTGCAAAACAGCCCTGTGCTTTGATTTGTACTTAGTATCTTGCAGTGATACACAAACAATTACCCTTCTGTATAAGCCGTAAACCTCCTGTGGCCTCATGTAGCAACGATAGTGTGTAAACCAGTTGTTAACTTGGTCTGATTCTTAGTCCACCTCATCTGCTCCTGGCGATAAATTGGAGTACTGCACTGGCAGGATGCTTGATTCTCCTGAGGTAATAAAAGCAGATATTTTACTTCCTCCTAAATTGAAAGCTCTGACTGTGGAACTTAATGGCTGCCCTAACAAGGCCACTCAAGCCCAGCTGGGAACGAGTGATAATAGCACCAGACTAGGGTGAGAACAGAAGTGTCTAAAAAAAGAGGCTTCAGCAGTGCCTCTGGATTGTACAAGCTTTCCTGTAGCATAAAAATGTGCAAATATGTGTACTCTACTCATGTGTAATGGGGATATATATGCACTAGCATGCTTCCTCTTTTATTTTTTCTGCTTTCTCTGTCTATCTGGACTGATAGATAGAAGATAAGGGAAACAGCTCCAAAACTGAGGAAGAAGAAGCTGCCTGGGAATAGCTATGGTTTACAGAGGAACTTTCAACAGTTAAAATGCCACATTGCATGAGTCACAGTAGTGCCAGTAAGCTCTATAAATCCCTGTTCTGTCCTTTGCCCTTCCTGATGGATAGGAGAGAGACATTAGAGAATAGTCCCTAGTCCACCTTGGCTTGCAAGGACATGTTTGAGTTCAAAAACAAGATGACAAATCTTGGTGGCAAAAGACCATGAGTAAGTCTCAACTGAGAATGCTTTAACTCAGTAGAGGTGCATTCCTATGGCATCTAAACTTAAAGGTAGAATGAGTTTGTTTCTTTCAAAGCTACATGGGAGACAATGACTGTCTTGAGTTTTCAGGTGTTTCCATTGTGCAGGTTGTCTTGAAATCCCACAGACATCGAAACTACTTTTTATCAAAGACTTCGTGGCTTGTTTTTCTTTTATTTTCACAGAAGATGCAGTATGACATATATAGTGGTTGACAAGTAGCACTGATACAATCTTTAGCTTTGCACAAGTCAAATAAGGAATTAGTTTTACTTATGTACTTTCTCTGAACATCAGCTTGAGTAGAACTTGAGGATACAGTTAAATTTTGGAGAGTATTTAGTATCTCACAAAATGGAACGCTGTTTTATGCAAACATAGGGCTACAAAATATATTAAAGTGTTTTTATTACTGTAACATTCAGAAACATGGTGCTGCTGGGGTGTTGTACTGCATCATGAGTATTCAACCCATTTTTTTAGTTAACTTTGGGATATTTTTATTACAGATAATAATATTAAAACAAACATAATAAGAAAACAGTACAGAGGTCTGAGTTTAGCTTGTTCACTTCCTAGCAACTCCTTCTAAAACAATCATGACTTTTTTTTTAATTTATTTTATTTTTGAGGCATATTGAGGAACTTGAAAGGTAATTTTTGAGCATCAGCCTTGCACAAAAAGATATGACTATGTTGAAACCAGGATTATGCAGTTTTTCTAAGTGCAATTGGAATAATAAGTACAAATTAAGATCACTTTTAGAGCACTTAATGATCATTGTTGTTTAGATTATTATTTTTTCCCAAGAGTACTCAAATTCTCACTTATAGCTAAGTATCCTGTTCAGTATGTTGCTGATTCTCTCTTTATGCCAACATTTTTCCTATATCCTATTGTTTTGATCTTTGCTGTAATCTACTTCTGAGACCATTAGTACAGAAAGCAAGACCAGGATTGGACTTAATTTTAGTTTTATAAAGTTTAATAATAGTGTTAAAAAACCCAAACAAGCAAAAGAAAACCAGAGAGGAGACAGAATTAGAATAAGTGACAATATTTGTGCAATTACTTGCTGAAAAACCTAAGGAGAAAATATCCTCATGTAATAACTACCAAAAATTGCAATTGAGTATCTTGGGGCTTTTTGAGATGTAATCAGTGGGGTATTTGTAAGATCCGGATTTGATTCTCTTCATGTGCAAATCACATGGAGAAGCACAATTGTATGAGGCATAGAAGAACCTAATTACAATGAAAAATTATTTTTGAGAGTAAGGCAGATGAAGAAAAAAACACAACCCAGCCTTATTACCTGCTCTAACTATTGGCTTCATAAATTGAGAACCAGCTGTTCTTCCACCAGAAAAGATGTGAGAATAAAAGAACAATGAAAAAGGATGATTGCAGGTGAATTGTGTCAAATAATGAATAGGTAAAAGGAAATTAAAAATGTTATCTAATTAAGGAATTTTTTTTTCAGTTATACAGCTGTAAATAACAGAGAATGATCTCAATGATAACCACTGCAGAAATGAAACAGATCTGGCTATTTTTAAGTATCACATTTATACGTATAAATTTAGTTTTGTCTACATTTTGTAAATTCTTGTTGGAAGTACATTCTACCATTTAGATGCAGTTATGACACTGAATTATGGTCACTCTTCACCAAGGCTTCAGAGAAAGATCTCTCTGATGCTGTAAGATTTACAAGGGAAGACTTATTTCAAGAAAATTACTTTTACTGGATTATATTTCAAGCATATCAGGCTTAGAGAAGATAAAAAACATTCCCATTCTTTTCTTTCTTTCCTACTTTCCTATGCAAATGAGCACACTTTAGAAAATACAGCATTATTGTCACTATTTTGAAGGTTGTCTATGCATGTGCATGTTCACTCCCACACGTTTTAAGAAACAGTCTCATACTCTTGAGTGGATCTTATTAGGTGAATTCAAGTTTTTAGAGGTCACTTTGCTTTGAGGGTAATGAAAATTTAAACACAAATATTGACATGAAGTTTTCTCTTTACATTCAGAACAAGGTGTTGGTAGCAGCTTGACAATGTAAAATGTCTGTGAATGAGGAATTATTCTCAATGGAAACATTTCTCGAAAATCTTAGGACTAGTGTTCTTTAGCCATAATTTTTATGGATGCTCTGACAAAGACCAGTGTCTTGGGACAGATGCTCTTTAATATCTTTATCATGACATAGACAGTGAGGTTTGCACATGACATGAAGCTGAGTAGTGCAGGTGACACAGCAGAAGGAAGAGATTGCATCCAGAGGTACCCAGAAAGCTTGAAAAGTGGACCTACAAGAATCCCATGAAGTTCAATGAGCCCAAGTCCTTCACCTGAGCTAGGGCAATCCCAGATATGAGTACAGATTGGAAGAAGAACTCATTAAGAGCAGACCTGCAGAGAAATACTTGAGGATTCTGATGGGAAAAAAGCTGGATATGACCCAGCAAGGTGCACTCCCAAAGTGGAAGACCAAGTGTATCCTGGGCTGCACCAAAAGTAGTATGGCTGGCAGATTGAGGGAGTTGATTCTACTGCTCTGCTATGCCCTTGAGAGATACCATTTGGAGAACTGCATCTCTTCAGGTGTCCTCAGCAAAAGAGATATGTGGGCCTATTGGAGAGAGTCCAGAGGAGGGAAACAAAGATGATCAGGGGACTGGAACACCTCTCCTATGAAGACAGGCTGAGATAGTGGAATTGTTCAGCCTGGAGAAGATTAGGCTCTGGAGTGAAATTATTGTGGTTCTCCAGTACCTAAAGGGAGCTTACTAAAAAGAGGGAGATTGACTTCTCTACACAGGTAGACAGGGATAGGACAAGGGGAATGGTTTTAAACTAAAAAAAGAGAGAGATTTAGATTAGATATTGGAAAAGAATTCTTTACTCAAAGAATAGTGAGGCACTAAAACAGGTTGCCCAAAGACAATGTGAATAGTCCACCCCTGGAAGTGTTCCAAGCTGAATTGGATGGGGCCCTGAGCAACCCAATCAGTCTGGTGGGTGACATTCCTGACCATAGCCAAGGGTGTTGGAACTAGATGATCTTCAAGGTCCTTTCCAATGAAAACCATTATATGATTCTATGATTCCATGATTCTGTTTATTTCTTTCATGATGAAGAAAGATTTTGTTAAAGGGTTTGGATCTATTTCCCATTGGCTCTTTTTTTTTTTTTTTGTTCCCCAAATATGGAAAAGGTTCACTTATAATACTGTCTCGTACTGCTTGGATTTTTTTCTCCTGGATGCTGTGGTTTTAAGACCATGACTTACATCACAGTCAATGTTATGACAGTCAGTCTAGTTTATAGTTACTCATAATCATTTCTGAAAAAGTGATTGGAGCTGAATAAACTGCCTACTAACAAATTTCTTAAGTGTACCTGATACATCCTTAGACAAAGGCTGCTCTCCAGTTTTCTTCAAGTGGTTTAAAGGAGAGAAAGCAAGTGAAAGTTAGGTCGGGGAATTCCGAAAAAGGAAGGTGCACTTTGCACACCAGAGCATGCTTTTAGTGCTCCTGAGGCTGTGCAAGTAGAAGACTTGGGTCATGAGCTAAGCCTTGGGAATGCCTTTAAAAGGAATGTAGGAACCATTAGCAAATGTGAAAGTAGTAGTGTGTCTTTAACAGTACAGAGGTCAGCACCAGCTAATCACATTTTAGATGGGCTTTTGAGCCTGTGCTGGTTTGGCATGTCATGCAAATAAATGTTAGTTGCACATTGGGTCTAGGGTATACACTTTGAGCATGCAACCACATGCTTTGTAAAGAGTTTTGAAAAGTTCACTGAAGAAAGATGAACAAGATAAAGTCCATGGGTGGACAGGTGTATTTTCAGGTGAAACATTTCTATTAATAAAACAAAACTTGAGTAAAATAGAATGTCCACAACTAAATCCGCTACTACTCCTTTTCAGAAAAGAAGCATGTTTGTGGTTGCTCTCTGGTATTTAAGTCCTTTTTTTTTTTTTTTTTTTTTTTTCAAAATTCCTTCTTTTGAAATTCACTATGAGACAGTGAAAAATGATGTAAAGATGGTCAGTGGTCAGTGTTGTAGACAGTGCCTTTCTGAAGTTTTAAAGTAATATCATTATCTTATAACACAAAAATTGCACTTCCAGTTACAAAGAAATAAGACCACCGGAGACAGACATTGTTAAACTAGAGATACATTAAAAGCTGCTGAATTTTGCTGTTTCTATGTGCAGTTATAGAGTTGCAGACTGTAAACCTTCAATCCACTTGAATCGTTTAGGCTTTCATTCTTGCTATATTATGCTCTTAGTTAAATCTAGTATAATAGAGGAATTCTCTAATGTTTTTTATCTACTTTCAGCTGTTTCAGAGACTAGACTTAAAAATATTACTAGGCATTTAAGGAAGGAATGTTTGGGAAATTTTAACATTTATTTTTGTCTAACATTTTTCAGAAGTGGTATAGGAGAGAACAGAACAAATTCTAGACCTCAGTGCACTGGCCTTGTCATTCTTGAAAGCAATCAATCTTCTTTTCTGCTGCAAGTATTTCTCTAGGAATTTGAAAAGATCTCATCAGTTTGTCTGAAATAAACTATGGGAAAAAATGTTGTGAGACCCTGTTTTGGACAATCATGAGAACACAGTAATGTCCAAATGTTGGGGAACAGTGGAAGAACAGCTTTGTGTTTCTCCTGTGCTTTCTTTCTCTTGCCCCTTTTCCTACCTGTATGATGTAGTAGGGCCCATCCCTAACTAATCCTGAATGTAATCCTGAATGTTAGTAATCAAAGAGCTCAGTATAAGTGTGGGGAATGAAGATTATGTAGAATGTTTTGAAGTGGCTACATTTCTCTAGGAGTGAAGCAATGTTATGATTCATAGAAGTGCTTCAAAATCAGTCCAGTTGTCACTGGATGTCCACCTTGTCATTATGTGGCTTGAGTGATCACACATGAATAAACACAATTCTAGAATATACATCAGTAAACTGCTAGATGCATAAAACAGCCTCCATCACATGTGCACAAGCTAGAACACATGCCTGCCACTTAACAAAGCTTCAGGTTTAGTAACGCAAAGCAGTTTAGTTTTCAGACCTTGGCTCTGTGCCAGAAATTTGTTGGCAGCTTTCAAGCAGGACTGAATGCTTATCAGAAGTTGGAAAACTCTCTCTTGAACTTCAATTCTTACTTCAAAAGAGAGACAGATTGTTACCATGGGTCTCTTACGAACTCAGGCCAATAGGTGTCTACCTAGAGAATCAGCTACAATGTATAAACAAGTCATGACTGATAATTAGCAATGGCCACATGAGGAAAAGTAATCTCTGCTCTATCTTCAGAAGTCTGCTCTGTCTTTAAAAGAGAGGGAGGGTATGAAGTGTAATGAAATGAAAAATCAGCTAGCTCTCTGAAGGAGGAAACAAACTTTCTCCATTACGATGTCTGAGAGTCCCTAAATGGCAGGAAAGAATATAGCACCAATGGGGAAGAAAAAAAAAAAGAAAAAAGTGACACAGTTTATTTTCCTAAATATTATTATGGATGGGTGTTAAAATTAGCCAATGACAACTTTTACCAACAAATTGTTCAGTTCAATCACTTTCCTTTTCAAGTAAATCTTCCTGGTTTCCATGGAGAGGACTCATCCTCTAATCCAACTAAAAAGACCCAATTAATTCCTGTGACAAGGGCATGAGAGAACTTTTACCAGAGCCTTCCCTACAACAGTCCCTGGGGCTCCAGCATGCCATTAAAGGATTAGGGATTTCTAAATTGAATGAGAGGAAGGCTGCTTCATACTTTTTTTTAGCCTGTGTACTAGCCAGTGGAATGAGATTCACACGGTGACAAATGCGTTCCAGTCTAGCGAACACAATTTCTTATGAACCTTTAGTAGTAATGTTTCTCTCCAGTCATACCATTGTTGTTGGGAGGCAAAAGAGGAGGAGAGACTCTGTAGGATTTTCTTTCCTCTGACCCTCCTAAGGCTGCCTGAAAAACACAATGAATGCAGCCTCTAATATCTGCTGATGTTGAAAATGAGTAATGTCACTTGCTAGCAGAGAGCAATGTTTGATCATTCTGACTGCTTCCTGATGCACCTGAGATTTAGAGAGCAGTGTGATTAATAACAAAAAAAAAATGTGTGGTTAAAAAAATAAATTTAGAAATGAACTGAATATATTTATGTTCTCAGTCTGTCTCTGCTGCTATGTGCGTCAGATGTAGAAGCAGTGCTGTGATGTGTCAGGAAGCAGTAATGACTCTAATAAGACAGCTGATTTAGGTGATCTCCAAGATAAGGGGGAGTAGTACAAGATTCCATATCTTTCTTTTATTATAGGGGACTGCTAGACACAAGCAATGCAGGCAATTTGGAACTTAGCATCCTTGGCCAAAATATTGAAGTTTGTGTCTCTATACTTGTTATATTTAATCACCAAAATAAAAGTAGTCTCCTGTACTAAAGGCAGAATATTTTCTGAAACACTAAGTGAACTATCTGTAAATGTCCATACATGTATTCAGGTGCCTATCTTGAGGAAAAGAACTATTAACAAATAGAAGAACAATCCATCTCTGTCATTTTTCTGTAACTACACTAGGTGGATATCATCTTTCCAGTAGTTCTGCAAGATTTTCCAGTGAAGGAAAACAATTCCTGAAATTAAGTTGGTAAACTAGATGTATGGGAGGTCTGAACAACAGTATGCCTGTCTACTGGGTCTCTGACATCTCTGACCTTAGGAAAGCACAGAACTTACCAGAAAGGTAAATGAAATTTAATACAATAATGGATATTTCATTAAGTATGCCAGACTAGATGGAAATTGGCTTAAGGAAACTGACGGGCAATATGCCTAGATAGAACTTCTTCAAATATATGACAAAACCTATATTTGCTGGTTGATAAAATTGTACAAGAATAATTTCAATAAAATCTTCATTTATAAGCTTTGGATTTTTTTTTAATTTTTTTTTATTATGCAGCTAAAATACATGACTCACTTTTCTATTAGTCATTATACTGAGATTTTAAGATTTATTTTCTTCAGTTTCATCTTCTGCAATGACACTGATGCACAGATAGAATTTAGGTTCTAAGATATCCATTTGAAATTAATGGATAGAGTTATCTGAATGTATTCCACCTGAAAAAACAGCTTATAAGTCATAAACCAATTTTTCTGATATTTTAATTCCTTCCACTTTTTAAATTTAATTCATCACTGCCTTTGATATGTATATTCATCTATTTATGTCACTTGCATGAAAACCAGTAAAACCTTCTTAAAAAAATAATTAAAATAATGGTCAAGTACCATCAAAGCCAAGTGATTTTAATCCAAGTATCCTCTGTCAATCTAACTATAATAAATAGAATTGAATGCAGTCTACAACAATCTACTCTATCCTCTTTTTCTCCTTTCCCCCCCCCCCCATTTTCTATCTATTAAACTGTTCATAAAACATCATTTGAATTGCAAGTGGTAAATTACATGTTCTTTCTCTGCACAGAGTTCTTCAGTACCTGAAATTCTAGACTCATCTCAGTTATCATCTATGCCACTTTCAGTAGAGTCTCTGAAACTATGTTAAACACAATAGTGGGCAACAACCAAGGTAAAACATGAACATGCTATGCTTCCTGATGTGTATCCATATCCACCATATTTGAAAGTTGTAAAGAATGTTGTATGGTTACTGTGTTTTAAAACCAAAATATTATACACATATCAATGAAGTCAGCCAGCTTTGATTGGATGATGACAGCATAAAACTAGTGAGACACGAGGATAGACTTAAACTGAGCTTAGGGTTCCATCCTGGACTTTCTTTGCTGCAGTAGGAACACATTCGATCTCAAGATTTTTCTTCCAGTGAAAAATGAATCAGCCTAGACAAGAGGCTCATACATGATCTTAGGTCCATTCTTGAAAGAAAATATCGAGGTCATAATAACATATGTCTTTCTTCACAGGATTTAAAACTGAAAGACTGACTGGTATTACCATACACAGATTTTGTAATATAAGTAATATTAAGAGATTTCTGTAATATACTGGCTCTGATTTCTGTTGATCTGTCTACTTTCTCAAATCCAAATAATCACTTTATCTTCAATTTTTTTTTAGTTGTCTTTCTAGAGTTTTACAGAATTGCTGAGATTGTTTATAAAGAGATACACATGAGCTTTGACCACATTCACCTCAATACCAAACTAGGTTTTAACTTACAGTGGAAGCAGGTGCATTGCCTTTTATTTTTGTAAAAGTTTATTCTTCACATCTTCTTTACTGAGGCATAATAAAGATTTCCTGTTTTGTGTACTTGAAAGTGTGGTTATATTACCTGAGGCTTTGATAAAAATCCAGAAAGAAATTGAATTATAAAGCAGTGTAATAGTTTCATAGCATTAAGAGCAACCTTTTCCTAAAATATTTTCTGATATTAGAAATGGAGAACCACCCTATACTGTAATTTTTTATTTAATCCTGTATTATTATACTAGGGTATTATCCTTCACCTTTTACCTCCTCCTTTTTTGAATCAACTGGTACTTCCTGTATAAGAGAGGAATCCAAGAGGATGGGTTAGATTGCAGCTGCTCGAATTAACATATGTTGAAGCATCCATCATGGCATTTCAGAGTAGTTTCATTGAAAGCTCTTTGGTAGCATAAGTATTAGTTTACCTGTCCTGCTTTTGCATTTTCACAAACAAATGTTTCATAGTAGTTGGCAAACTCTGGTGCATGATCATTTATGTCTAAAATCCGGATGAAGACAGGTATCTGGCTACTTTGTTTAGGATTATCTGGAAAAAGAAAATTATTTATTATACAATACAATGAGTTATGTCTGTGAAAATAATCCAATACTTTTTTTTTCCAAAATATATTAAAAATGTTCATTTTTATTGTACTAGAACAATTATATTTCATTTTCTATTGATGTACATTCCATTTATATAAAAGCTCTATTTATATCTGAAACAATTTATTATAGTATGTATATTTTGAAATAATATAAAGTATACTTAAATTGATTCACATTAAAAACAGGTGACTGAGTTCTTATTGCTTTGCATTCCATATGTCAGTACAACAAATGATTCATTGCAAAAGTTGTTTCATGAGGTTGAGCTGTCAAGAACATTTACTTTTTCAAATCAGTAAAACAGTAAAACAGTGTCAGTCAACAACAACACAAACACACACACAAAACCACAAAAAAGCCCTCAACAAGACAAAGTTGTCTTTTCTCCCCAAAACGTAAAGAAACAAAACAATAAAAGGAGATATGTAAGATGTGATCAATCACTCTTCACAAACTTGACCTCCAAGCTCAAGCTATTGCCAGAAAAGATTCTCACACTACACATATCAAAAATGAAGAACGTTTGACCAAATAATGAAAAGAATTTATGAGGAAAAGATATTAGTCTTTCTGAAAATGGGGATATGATTCATCTCTCCATATCACCAAAATTCCAGGCTGTTAAACATACTGACTCCTGGGAAATCTATACAGAGAATGAAGTAAGGGAGAAAAGCTGTTCACTAAAATTAGTGTGTCTGTTTCCCCTTTGATGACTGTTGCCTGGAACAAAAAGTAGGCAAGAGACATCCATATCCATGAGTGCTTAGCAGAATAGTAAGGAATCCAGGTGAAAGACTATGGCCCAGGGTTTGCTTCAGATGTGAAGGGAAAGAATTTTCCTTGTCTTCAAACAAAGACATTTTCTGAAATAAGTTAAAGCAGTTGAGGCAAAGCATAACTTCTTCCCACTTACAGTGTTCTTTCTGACAATGTGTTATTTGTATGTCATGAAAATTTTTTTTTTTCCAATGATTTTCTCAAAGACTTAGCTTGGGTCAGAGCCAGTGCATCACACCTGCATCAAATTATTTTCTGTGAATTCTCAGAGAACCTTTTAACTTATATATATATATAGTACATGGTTTTGTTGAGCATGAGGATTCCAAATTATCTTTTCAAAAATGGGCAAGACCAATCTTAAAATAATAAATGGAAATTTTAGATGTGCATATAAAGGTGCTCTGTATATTGTTAATATCTGAATAACAGCAAAACTAATGAAACAAGTAAGTCATAGGTACTGTAAAATTTAATTCTTTTCTCAATTCTAATATTCCTCTGAGATAAGTTATCTTCAACTTACTGATTTCAGTTGCTATGACAGTGATGTTGTGCCAGGGAGTTTCCTCTCGGTCAAGTGGCTTTGAGATGAACAAGGATCCATTTCCAGAATAGATGTTGAATATTCTGTCAAGGTCAGTGTGTCGATCCACAGAATATCTGTCAAGATACAGTAGAACTGAGCCATACTTTTTCCTTTTCCAGTCTCCAGTTTAGCTGTAGAAGTTTTCTAATTTTAGCTGTGGTTAATCAAAAATGTTTTCTTAATAATTAACCTAACCTTTCCTGTAGCTTCCTGCATGTTACAAATACTGAGAAACAAGTTTTTAAGACTAGTGAGCAGGAGGAAGAGCAAATTATTATGTGGGCAGTTTGTAGATCGATATTGGAACTTGCATTTCAACTCAAAAAGTGAATTCTGGAATAACAACAAAAAGCAGACAATTTTAAATAAGATTTTATGCAAATTAATTGTCTCTTAGAGAACTCTGTCACCAAAGGACACACATTGCAGATAAAAGTATCAATTTTTAAAATAATATTTGGGGGGTGTTACAAAGACCATCAAACTCACCAGAAAAATCTTCATATTAGTAGCTGTTTTAGATGAAATGTCTTAAAATTTTGGTTTATGATACTTGTTTTTGCTTTGTTCTTACCCAGCAAAGAAAAACCTATTTTGCAGGTGCTTTTTTAATTAGCTTACTAGTTACAAGTTACTATAAGGTTAAATTGATATTTTATACATAGTTTACTTAAAAATATTTTATTCTCTTCCTCCTCTCACACTTCCTACCTCAAAGTGTTCTGCTGCAGGACATAAAAGGCTTCTTCAGGTTTCATAATCACTTGCATGGTAAATACACAAATTTAAGTGCTGTATTTTCACTGCAGATAATAATAGCAGATGGATAACAATTACAGAAATTTCACAGTGCTGAACTCTCACCTCTAATTGTTACGACTTGGAATTGCTTCTTATTCAGTGTACTGTGATCATTAAATAGTTAAGCTATAGAACATGGTAGACAATTTTATGCACAGAAAGCTGAGTGCTATCAAGCATCAAGGATCATAGAAATACATAATTTTGAGTTTTTACATGGTATAAAACATAACTTTATGAACAGTTTGGTGAAAGCATTAGAACATGGCAGCATTTAAATGATGATCTCGCCTTTCTTTTTACATAGTATCTATAGGTTGTTCTTCAAAATCATTTTCTACACTGCTAAGTGCACTAGTTGTGTTCGCCTTCACAAGCTGCCAGAGATCTCTCTGTTTGACACTTTTCAAGAGCCCACATGTACTTAATTACTCAGCCTTCTAATACATTTCACTCTCATCACTCTCTGTGCATGAGACTTGGCCGACATCTAAAGCATTTTATATTGTATAATGGCTTACTTTATTGCATTCTTTGCTGTATCTGGATCTTGGGCTACAACTTCCCCAATAATACTTCCTTCCCTGGCATCTTCATCTACCTCTATTAAATACCAGGGTCTGCTGAACACTGGAGGTTCATCAGTGTCTTCAACAGAAATTTTGACCAAAGCCGTGTCTTTGAATGGCCCCAGTTGAAGAAAACGAGGATCAGGATGAGCATTGGTTGCTTCCACTCTTAAGGTATATAGCACCTTGTTCTCAAAATCCAGATGCTGAGGATCAAATAATAAAAAAAATTATTTCACTTTACCAAAAATGTGAGGTTTATAATACTGAATTAAAAATAGAAACATTTTTTGAAGCAAAAGCTCTAAATTTTAATACATCCTGGGGAAGACTAAGTATAGTAGATCTTTCTCTAGGCATACAAAAAATAAGGATTGTTATAGGATATTAAGGCAAATATGATCCCTCTGCCTACTACTTGTTTAGGTTCCTAAAAAACTAGAAGGGTTCAACCTATATAAAAATACAAAGAAAGAAACAGGAACATTTCACTCAGTCTGCAAGTAAGAGTTGTTTAAAGTCTTATTTGTCTCATCTTGTTGGAAGAAACAAGAGCAATTTTCTCCTTTAGTAAATGCTGACTCATATTTACCTTTTTTTCACTCCTCTCCAATTACTATCTATTCTTACCATCTACATACCCTCCTGTTTGGCATGAGGAGTCACGCAGACTCATCCCTGAACTCCAAGTTCCACAGTGAAAAGAAAAACTGTGAAATCTGATTTCCGATGTGACACACTATGCATATCCATATATGCATATGTATACAGACATTCATATGTAGACATATGTACATACATAAATATACATGTTTCCAAATATGTTTATACATCTACATTATATATATATAGAAATCAATCGATTTTTACTGATATATTCAATAGCAATAGAACTGAAAAGAATGTTCAGAGCTTAACAGGCTGAATTCTGAAAAGCAATTAGTAAATATATCAGATATGGTATTTTGAATTAAGTTCCTACCAATGTCTCTGCTCTTTGGATTTTCATTGGCATAATATGTAAAAACCAAAGTTTCAAAATGATTGGACTTAAACTGAGACAGATTTTAGGTACTGAAGATTGTTGGACAGATTAGAGAGGGAGAGTTTATCCTTGGACATGTAAGTTCATCAGGCTTCTGGTTTGAGCCTCCCAACCTGATGAGTCTTCCCACAACAATCAGCTGACAAATCCCACTATGGACTGAATCCCTCCAGCTTTTCACAGCCCTAATTTGAAAGCACTCTGTGTGAGACTATATATATTGAACAGACAGCAGCCACTGAAATATTGCTTTATGTGAAGTGACATGCCAGTAAATTTCCCTTGAGACTTGAAAATAACAGATATCTGCTGAAGAAAGAGAAGAACAAAACTAATACAACAGCTCCTTGGCAGCCTGACCCCTTGTGAGATCTACCCTCCCTTTCCCTGGAAAAAGAAAAATAACTGTAACACTTGGAGAGCTAAGTACATATAAAAGAGAGGGAAGAAAAAATAAACCTTTTTGACAGTTATAATCCCTTCCTGTGTGTCCTTGTCAGTGACGATATCAAACATGTCTGATCCATCCCCACTGGAGATGCTATACTCAATCTCTGCATTTTCTCCCACGTCAGGGTCATTGGCTTTAATTCTGCCAAGAGGAGTCCCAGGTGGTGCAGATTCAGGAGAACTAAATTGGTAGGTTCCTGAAAGAGCAAATTCAAGTATTTATTGTTTTGAGAAACTTTTTCTTCTGAATAAAAAAACCCTCCAATTTCACATGTTTTTTTTTAAGTAATTTGAAGTTCCAAAACTCTTTAAGAAAAGTGCTGTTAGTCATCATACTAAACATTAAAACAGGGTCCAGAGTTGATTGGCAAACTATTAAAAAAATTTGAAAGTATTCTTCAAAGTCATTTAGTACTGTGCTTTTATTTTTTTTTCTTCAGCTATAAGGTACAGAGGAGCTAAACAATAAGGTACCAGTTCTTATCTTGATTATTTAAAATTATATGTATATAAATATATTCTCTCAGTTTTTTAGAAATGTTGCTAGATATATTCAGATATAGGAGGGAATTTAGTTTTGTTCTCTCAATGCATAAATATAAATAAAATAGAGATCTTTTTTTATTCTTTTGAAATATGTATTCAGGTAGGTGTTCTGTGTGAAAGTAATTAATTCATCCTCTACTGGCAATACCTACTAAAGAGTCATGGTAAAAGCATTAGGATACATGTTCATGTTAATTGCTATAGTTAATTGACACGCAGACACATTCAGATTTTCTGTCATTTACTCTGCATATACTTTTTGTGCTCTTTCAATGGTTGGTTTCATTTAATGTTTTTATAATCAGGGTTTTCTAAAAGAAATCTGATTACAAAGACATTTTAATCTCCCCCCTGTGTATGGAAAGTGAATTTATGTGCATTTTCTGACAATATTTGTAATAAAAATCAAATTATAAAGACATGATGTTGCAGAAGCATTAATCAGATGGATTTCTTGATCAGTCAGAACAAGATATTGAAGACTTTTCATCAGTAGCAAGACAAAAAAAAAATTCACAATCAGTATTTTCAGTTATTTGCTACCAGGAAAGTGTAAAAAAAAATAAATTTAGTATGTTCAGATTTTGCAAGAGATGCCAGAATTTGGTGTTTCTTTTGATCTGTTTTTCCCTTTGTAAATTCATATTAATTTACTGAGTGAGGTCGTAGCACTGGAGAAACACCTTAAGAAGTCCTACAAAACTAGCACCAGATGAAATGTACAATCCTTATTCAAAGGGTCCAGTAAGAACCTGTATAAATTATATTGACTTGTAGTGAAGCACAGTCAACTATCTTTCTTGCAACTACCCTATTTGCTATATTTACGCGCCCTTTACTCTCTTTTAAGACTCCTAAAGGGTCCTCAATGTTCCGTTTAATACAAAGAAACACCAAACATCTGAGTGCTGGATGAGTTTCGGTTCCCAGCTGTACAAAGCACAAAAGAGAATCACTGCAAATGCCTTACATGTAACAAAATGGAATCTAATGCTTGATGCCAAACTGTTGTGAATTCAAGGTTGTAAGTAAAAACTCAGATCAACCTGTTTGGCTATGATCCACAGAGACCGAAATGTATTTGTTTCTTTAAACCAATCTGAAAATGGGAAAAAAGGTAGGATTCCTGGCAGCTAAACCAAGAGTTTGAAGGCTTGAACTCTTGACAAATTCTAGGGTTTGACAGGTGAGCCAGAAATACCATAAGAACAGATTTAATCATGTTACTTATTACTCCTTCCAAACAAATAACTCCCTTTAGTGCTTTTTCATTTGAAAACATTCCTCATTTTTGTGATCCTGTGTGAATGTCACATATTTTTGGCATGTGAGGTGGATATTTGGTTTAGAGCGCAATAGAATTCAAAATGTGTAAGATTTTCATTATGGTACCATTTAAATTCCGTTTAGGCCTGTGTCTTCTAACTGTCCAGGATTTCTTTCAGGAAACAAAACAAAACAGAAAATCTGTTTCTTCTTAAGGCAGTATGAACAACAAGTACTTGTGCCATTTTACTTTCTTCTGTCCCTCTAAGAAATTAAATTTAGTTCTTAAATACCTTGATATTAACTGGTGCTGCTTGCAATTGCCATTCACCCTCTGTTCTGCCAACATTTTTCACTTATTGTTCCCTCACATAAGAGAAAACGGAAGACAAATGTCTTTGTAAGAAGCAAACTTCCAGAACTAGATAGTTCTTTGAAGGTGTGCCCTCCTTCATAACTATCTAAGAAGAACTCAAATCCTTCAGATGTTTCTCTATGTTTGATATCCTAGGAAGTGCTGAAAACCACCCTGCTGAGGAAAAAGAAAATGACAGGGAAGGGTCATCAGCAAAATTAAAATTGCACCACTGAACAGATTCCACAGCAGGCCTTCTATATACCATGTTTCAGTGATGTTCAAAGTGGTATGGTACAGAGAACATTGTATGAGCCATCAAATTGTGTAAATTTCTTTATAAAGTACTAAACTCAGAGATTATTGAAATAATCATAAGAATTTCTATAGACTTGAGCCTTTAGTTAATTTTGAAAGAAGAGAATCATAAGGAATACATGCTGAGGAGACTGGAAACCTTAATTTATTTTGCAGTTCTATACATTCTTCATTCTTTATTTTATTTTATTCAGCAGCAAGGCTTGCAATGCAATCTACTATACTAAATTATAATTTAGGTTCAAGAATTCCTATTTGACAAATATAACAGGCTCTTTCATCCTATACATGTTTAAAAAGTATCCCCTCATAAAGTCAAACAGGCAATTTGGCTAAAAATTGCTGTTTGAGTTTGTCATGTGAAGTTAATTCTCAGCAAGTGAACTCTGAATGTGAATTCAAATTATCTTCACTTTATGAGGGTTGCAGTACTTCCTCTCTCCTCTTTTTTTAAAGCTATCAGTTATCATGGATAGAGATTAAAATAGTTTTTTGTAATTCAATCTTTCATCTTGTCAGAGTTTATTTTTGTAAAATCTGCTCTGGGTTGACCTGTTTGTACTGCTCTGGGTGTCTTTATTGCCATAGTACTGAAGTGCTTTTCAAGTTTCTTCAAGTCTGGGGGAATATTTTCTAAATCAGCTGTTTGTTCAGTCCTTAGTAAATCTAAAAGAGATCCAGGTCCCCCATCAATGTGAATGAGCAATTCAAATTCTATAATGTGCACATTTTTCCAGCAGGCACTGAAATGAGGCTGTAAATTTCTTCTATGTGCAGCCTATCAAACAGTTATCAGACACTGACTATAACAATTTGAGATCAAATTTAAACCAGTGGCCTAGAATGAAAAAATCTGTAGTGTGTTACTGTAAAGCTTTTTGTATTGTGCAGCTTTCTGTTATTTACCATTTTTTATTCTACAGGTGTATTTTAAAAAAGCGTAACTTTATCTTGTCAAGCTGGCCTAGATTTTCAAAACCACTCAACATCAAGAACTGAACAGAAATTACAAGTACCTAAAGCAAATACTTAGACTGCCAGCACAACATACCACCTGATCAACTCTGTCTGGGCAAGAAAGAACATTAGAAAATTCGCTGACCTATTTGTTTGTCTAAACATGTGGAACTAAAAGTATTTCCCAAAACTGAACCCTATATTTTGTAATTAAATTCCTCTAAAGGCTTTCAAGTCCCTGCAGTTAGCCTAAGTTATTGTTACATCTTACATTCCTATAAGCAGAGTGAGAGTGAGAAGCAAGTATATCATACCAAGAAATAATTTGCTATTAAAAAAATGTAGGCAGAGATTCCCATTTGCCCTAATAATGCTGCAATGTAAACAGACAGAGCATTGGGGCAATGTTTACACTACCAAAATAATGACGAAAAGAAAGAAGTAGTTTCCAGGTGAGCAAAGCAAACCAGGTGATTTCGGAGAGATTGTTTGGAAAACAGAACTATTAGATGCTCCATACTCTGGGGGAAGCGAGGCGGATTGTCGTTGACATCAGTCAGTGTGATATTCACGGTGGTGGTCCCTGATAGTCCTCCCATCTGGCCTCCCATGTCTTTGGCCTGGATGACCACTTGATACTGTTCCCTGTTTTCTCTGCTCATGTCCGGTAAAGCAGTCTTGATTATGCCTTGAAGAAGTAAGAAAAAGGAGAGACAGAGCAGTGAAGGAGAAGAACCACCCACTTTGACCTTAGAATTTTTAAATGGATTCTTGTGAGATATACTATGCAGATGATAATCCATAGCAATCACAACAGGGTGTACAGCAATATGCCTTTCAATCTGTAACTGATTTATTGTGATCTTAAGGAGAAAGATAAATAAATGTAACAGAGACATTTTTCATTGTTTTTGATGTGTTAAATCAATTTAATTATTCTTTCAAGGACAAAAATATCAATATATCTGTTGAAATAATGAAATTTTTCAGTTACTAACCCCAGTTATTATTTGATACATTGTGTTATGTCCAGGTCTGGTGAGGTTTTGATATTATAACACAAGGCTAAGTCTAACATGCCTTGTATTCATTATTCTGGGCTGTAGTAGATCACAGACTGTAATGCTCAGTGATGGACACTATATGTCAGCTAGGACTACAGCTAACAGAAGAATTGGACAAGACTGTAAAATTAGAGTTGGAAAATCATTTTTTGAGTGTTCAGTTTCAAAAAATATCATAAATGTAATTTAAAAACATCAGGCTCTCGTATGGTACACAAAAAAACTAGGGTCCTCAGGTGAGAAAACCAAAAGACCTTTTAATTAAAGTGGGCGTACATATTTTCTTTTAGAAAACCAAGCAGGGCTTTTTTGTTATTATTATTTTTCTTATTTTTATTTAGAAGGATGGTGGCTTTGCAGGGCTAGAGTGATGAGAGTTTTCTCTTGAGACGTGGAAAAATTTAAATATAATGTCCTTTTCTGCTTGGAAGATTCACACCCCTGCCCTTCCTTTCTCAGAAGAAGACTCTCATTATAGGCTGTTAGATATTATACCAAAAAAAAACCACCAAAAAACCCAAATAAACCCAACCAAACAAAAAACAACCGTGGAAAAATTCTGCTTCTAGAAGAGAGAAAAAAACCCTTTGTAGTTTAATGGTTATGGTATTTACGTCTGATCCAGGGTTACCAGGTTCTGATAACCATACCTAGCCTTGTTAGTATATGTAACATCAAATAGCAAATTGGTTTAAAATGAAAGATAATCCCTGAACCAAAAGTGAGAGACCAAGTGTCCCACAAAATGACTGACTGCCTAACCACCTTCTACCATCAGTTATTGTCCGTGCGGTACTGGTCCTGTTTCCCTGCTCATGCTTGTTAAAGGTGTTTGAGTAAGGGACTGGAGAAAAGAGAAAAAGGAGAGAAACTGAAAAAGGTGGGGAAAAGCCAAACACTTTTATCCAAGGCAAATTGTTCTACTCCCTTTTAGAAGCTTTATGGCTCATTATCTTTCTCATACTATGCACTTGCTGTATTTTAAAAAAAGAAACTGTTTCAAAAGGAAAGTAGACATCTGAGCATGCTCAATGGATTAGGAACTTCAGGGTTTCTGGGCAAAATTACTCTTAAATTCTCAGTTCTCAAACTAGAAAAATTTTGATAACATGCAGGAACAAGCTAATGCAATTCCTGCTGAGTCTTGAGTCCCTTAGAACTCCTCTGGAGGAGAGGTTATGCTTGAACGTTTCTTTTTTGAATCCTAATTTTGAATTAAAGATATCCAAAGTTCACACTTTGTTTTAATTTGTGTTTGTTTCTTATACAATTTTCTACATAACAGTAAAAAATGCTTTCATTCATGCTTTACAACTAGAAGGTGTTGATGATTCTTGCTTCGATTCTAATAACTGTTGGAATTAGAATACAGTTTCAAAAAGCATCTTCAGTTAAAAATTGTCAGTGGTCAGGAATCTATTCCAAACTTTAACAAATAATTACTTGTGAGATTTTTCTTTTTTTTCACCCTATAGTGTGAATTTGTTCATCTCCTATTTCCTTTTTCTTAAAGACAAACACATGAAATTCCCAGAAATTGGTGTAAAATAGGCTTGTGACTCATTTTGGTGGTTCTTCTTGACCTTTCACAGTGAATAGCCATCTTTTGGAATCTTACTCATACCAATTAAAACAGTTGCTCTGCAATAATTTTATTTTAACAAAAAAGATGCACTTTTACTGTGATTCCAGTTTTCGTTTAATGGTATCAGCTTTGTGTCAAGTTATATGATGCCATACACCTGTTCCAGTATTGAAATGGAAGCAAAAAGTGTCTTGATCCCTGCATCCTGTCCCTGTTATTGTAAAAAACAAGACTGAAGGAATTGCTAACCTGTTTCTGGATCCACTGAGAAATATGGCTGTCCCTGGAGGATGCTGTACACCACTTTGGCACTGTTTCCATAGTTGGCATCATCAGCATCTGTGGCTGTCACCTGAATAACAGATGTACCTAAATGGGTACCAAACAAGGAATCAGCAGATTTTAAGAAGGCATCTACTTCTTGTAAACCACATACGGTTGTGGAAGTACTGAATTAATTAAGAAATCAAACAATATCCAGTGGACAAATCCAGAGTTACCCTATCCAAGATACAGTAAAATAAAATCAAATCTCATCTTCCTTGTGACTAAACCTAAAATCATTATCACTTAAGATTCATGATTCAATTAAACATGAGTAAACACATAGGCACTGACACATCTTTGAAACTTAACAAGGCATTAGGTTTTTTGGTGATCAAACAGATTTGAGCATTGTTCTCTGGTAATAACATGACCCCAACTGAAACTGTTCACTTAAAGTTTTGCCTTAATCAATAAATAAATGTAAAGCAAATTTTTCCATACACATTTTCTGCCTAGATGACAAACTCCAAATATCTGAAATCAGACTGAATATAAAATTTTATCTCATCCTAACTGGTTTTTAAGATGCTCTTAAAAAGTAGCTTGATTTTGTAATGAGAAATTGAATTTGTGGGGTTTTGTTTGTTTCTTTCTTTTTTTCTCTCTTTGTCAAAGTCAACCATTTATTCAGAAAATAAATGTCATTAAATTATAATTAACGTTTTTCAGCATTGACTTATTTTGTGTGACAATAGCTTACCCATGCGCTATATGGGATTAAGAACACTGTGAGTCAATACATTTGGTACAGTTTATGGATTAAAAGCAAATGAAAGTTTCTGTAAAGCCCTTTTTATAAGATATATAAAAAGACAAAGCTGTTCTTCACAAGCTTTTATTTCTTAGCACTTTTCAAGACGTCAGAACACATTTTGCTAACAAAACCTTGAGCTGACAAATGTCTAGATAAACGCAGGTAGTCCAATAGCTAGAAGTGTAAAGGTCCTTCACTCCTTGTGAAGGGAAGAAGGCTGACTGAGTAGATGTTCTTTACCCTATTTTTGGCTGGATATTTTTAATGTATCTCACTTTCCTTGAAAGAAAAAGGTCTAATGAGCACTGTTTACTTAGGTGAATATCATTCTCTTTTCCTTTTTTTTAGATCTTCAACCTCTCTAGATTGAAGTTTATGCAAAAAACTTGCAACTTGACGATAAATTTAGAAGACACTCATTTACCTGGGACTAATAGAATTGAAGCGAATCATCTCTACTGTAGCTTTTCAGCATATACCAGTGATGGGGAAAAGTAGAAATCCAGAGTAATCGAAACAGATTTGTGAGAACATACTAATATGAGATCCTGTTAGATGCAACTATATTTTCATAGTACATAATACAGCTTTACAAATAATAATTTTACCTATATAACAGCAACAATTTCTACTATTTCAGATTATCTGAAAATTATGTCAAGAGGGGAGGAATACTTCTTTCTCTGCAACAAACCAGTAGAACAAAGTTGTAAAAATGATCTGTCACAAGTCATCAAACTCTACAGAGGATTTTTGCCATCAGCTATCTGGATTACTTTTTTGCCTGGTTAAACAGTTGGAGGTCATCTGTGTGCCAAGCCTAGCTGCAAAGAAAATCCCAAAGAAATTAATATTTAAGGACATTTTTATCACTAACTGTTCAGCAGAACTGCTCATCTGGACAAAAAACGAAGACAGTTTTTTGAGAATGGTAAAGTTCCATTAGTCTTATCTATTTTCAGAAAAGTGAGTAAGTTAAATCCCCTCAAGACTAACAAGGAAAGAAGAGTCAATATCCCTTGCTAGACTAAAAAACCCCATAAAGGTAATCAGTAGGCTCAAATGCTTGTACTGTGTGCCATTATAGCATCTAGAAGTTAAAAATCAAGAGAAATCCATCCCACACTCCTACCCTGTTCCCTCCCTCCCCCCAAAAAAAAAACAAAAAAGAAAACCAGTCAAAATACCTTCATCAGGAAAAGTTATTGGTATGACCTCCTGATCTAGACACTGACATGGGACTGACACAGAAGTTTGGGTATGGTTATAACAAATGTTCATTAATATTCTTTCTTTCTTTTCCTAATGCACTGTTTTGATGAAAAAAGTTGCTGAATCTCTGAATTTGAGGGGTCTTTTTACTTGTTTGTTTGTTTTTGGGGGGTTTTGTTTGTTTTTGTTTTGGTTTGGTTTTTTTTGTTTGTTTCTTAGAGGGTTTTTTTATTTGCTTGGCTTTGGTCTTGTTATTTTTTAGGACAGGTATATTACAGAGCTCAGGGCAGTATTTGGGAAATTTCTGTCTTTGTCTCATTGGAATGTCTGTCTTTGTTTCCTGAGGCTCAAGTGCCATATAATTATGGTTGCTGAGGAGACTGCAGGACATGTAACCCTACAGAAACTTTTGAGGTGATGAAAAAACAGTGTTGCAAAGCTCCTTCTTTCTAGTAAACTAATAGTACAATTGTGAAAAGTGATTAACAAAAGTATATCCTCAGAAAATTCAATGTCAGCCTGCAGTTAACTTTCTTCTCTGACAACAGTCTGCTGTATTGTAAAGAGGATACTCACAAATGATAGACAGTACTTGTGAAAGGTTCTTTCATAAGGAAAGAAACTTCTTTTATTTTTCTGGATTTGAAATGAGAGTGAAAAAAAAGGCAGTGAAATAATGGAACTCAACACTAATTATAAAATAATTGGTAAGGAGGCAAAACCAGTATGGAACTTTTTAATTAAAGCATGTCTTTTCCTTACCCCACTTGAATGGTACCCACAGAATTATATACTCATTCATTTGTTCATTTACAGTCTAAATTACCTCACAAGCAGCCTCTTACCACCAGTATTGATGAATACAGCAGGAATGAAGGGAGGAATTGGAGCTTGTGAAGAACTTGGGGTGAAGGAAGGTATATTAGTGTTTATCTTTTTTCTTACCAACTATTTTTAGTGGGCAATAAATTAAATTAATTTTCCCAGGTGAAGTCTGTTTTGGCCTTGATGGTAATTTATAAGCAATCACTCAGTCTGTATTTCAACTCATAAGCTTTTCCATCTTCTTTTCTCTCCCTGGTTTTTTTTGAGTAGAGGGAGTGAGAGATAACTGGGTGGGCTTCTGGCAGCCAGTCAAGATCAAATATACCACAGGAGCAAATTGGTGTGAAGGATCACCGAGAAAATGTGAGAATGACTATAGTAGCAGTCTAAGCAGTGATAACACCACTCCTCTGCAAAACAAAGTCCACTTCAACCCAACTCAAACCAACCATCCTATTCCATCTCAGGATGATAAATAAATCTCAGAGTTCTTAAGTGATGTATACTTTTTTCTTTTTCTTTTTCTTTTTCTTTTTCTTTTTCTTTTTCTTTTTCTTTTTCTTTTTCTTTTTCTTTTTCTTTTTCTTTTTCTTTTTCTTTTTCTTTTGTTTTTTTATGAATTCTCAATGCTTCTTTAACAGAGCTTACTGTTCATTTTACTGGCTTTGTATCTCAAAGATTTTCTATCTGCATGCAATGGACAAGAAATATGAGTTTGCTGTATGTGTCGGATTTACCAAGCTTCATGAGTGCTATAGTATCAGCATTCCTCCCCTACCCCCCCTTTTTAATTTGCTTTGAGTCTGGAAGCTTAAGCACTTTGATAACATAATTGTGATGTATGGGGTCCCAATGTAAGGTCAGAAAACTGCAGAAAGATAATTGTGAAGGTAACCTGAGAGGAGATAAATCTATGCAAAATCTGTGAAAGTGTTGGTGTGCGTGTGTTTGTCTGTTCTTATGTGTTCATGTGTGTTCATGTATATTCATGTCAGAATGCAGAGTCCAAAAAGGAAAAGCAAGTTAGAGAGAGTATCACTCTATATCTAGGATAATGTAATTCAAATGTCAGAAGTGAATGTTGCTAACACAGACTACTAGAACTCATGAGGAGTGAGACATAAATTTGAAAAAACTGGTAACATTTGAAATAAGAATGCTTTTATGAATTACGTTTAAAATGCTTTCTATCCTTTGTGTTGTGTTCGAAAGAGTCCCACTGGTATAATTAGGTCTCCCAGCATGACACCAGAGTGCATCGCAACACTGAAGTAAATAGCCTGAAGAGTATTGCTGTAGTGCAAAAGAGGTCTTCCACTAGATGAGAGGAACATATTTTGCTCCATTTTCATGTGAAGTCATGCTGTTCAGCACGCAGCTCTTGTTCCTACTTGGCTCCTTTGGTTGACATGAATTACAACTGCTTCTGCCAGTCAGAAGAATATAAATGCACCTATTGGAAAATGCTATTTTTACTGATAACTTGTTCAGTAACCTTCATTTTGAAGAGTATTCTCAATTTTGGGTGAAGAAAATGAGCAGATTATGTTTTTGGTAATGTATGTTTCAAGATTCCTCCATGAATGTTGGATCAAAAAATGACAGTGATTTAAATATCATTCAGAACCATGTCAACTCTTTTTTACAAAAAGCAATCCTGTAACTTCAAAATGCATTTTGATTCTGGCATTTTTATAAAACTAGAATTTCAGAACAATTAAAAATTCTAATTTTAAGAAAAAATAAGGTTTAGACTTTATCCTTCTAAAATAAAGCATTCAAAAAGAATTTTAAAATAAAAAAATCTGAAAATGCTGAAACAGTATTTTTTTTTACATTATGAGACAGCTTCATGTCTCTTCTTTTTTTTTTAAGTCAACTTCTGTCAAAATTGGCAATTATTGAAAAGTTCTGATTTTTACAGAGAAGTTTTGTCTGTGTATGTGTAGAAAGTCTGTTTCATTTTCAGAAATAGAAGACCAGCTGGGGCAAGTGAAGAGGCAGGAAGGACTTTATCTCCCTAAAGGAGAAGCTCTTGTGCTTGCTTCCTGTTTTCAAGTGCAATGACAATCTGCTGTTCGTCAAGTTTATTTACAGAGGGAAGATTTTAGAAGAAGTATACTTTTACAAGCAAAAAAGGATTTGGATGAGCTCTGGAAAACCTCTGGAATAAGGAATTTTGTATGGCTAGAAGCCTAAAGAAAATGAGTGTTCAGGTAGCTTGCTCAGACAACAAGGTTACAATGATTAT